GCAATCTGCGCTAGATCCGCCATTTTAGTTGGAATAGATCCTTGCCAATCTGAACAGGAAGCTATAAGGTGATACGATTATAACAATTTTCACAACGTACCAAAAGATCTTTATCTCAAAAGATATGTTAGAATATAAAATCTGGAAAAGCGCATTAACTAAGCAACAATGCATTACTGACTAAAAAATGATCTTACGATTTCTTGCAAGAGAAACAAAAGTGCAATTTCATAGAAAAATAGATATGGAAACTGATAGAGGGTGGCGCCTGCAAGCTGGCATCAACATTTGTATAACTAACTGAAATTCATGATAATCAATTAAAGCAAAACTCTCTTCAATAAAGCTAAGATAACCAAATCGAAGATTAATCAGGGATTAAAGGTCATTTTCTTTGCCAAGAGATGTAGTTCTTTGACTGGCCCGACGTCTCAACTATCGTATTGAGAGCTTAACCTCGCTTCGGCGCACCAAATCAATGTGCAACCGCTTCCTTTGAGCTACGGAATTAGGATCCAAACGAAGCGGCTGCACACTGCATAGCGCATCGGTGATGAAGCGAGGAAAAACGGCAATACTTAAGATCAGTTCACTAGTAAAGCATCAACTTTGATTATCTAGGGAATCACATAGAACATACGATAACACAAGGTGAAAATAGTGATATGTACAGGGACGAGGACGGAAAAGTTAAACTTCACACTTAAAAATGGAACTGGAGAGCGAGTTTATGAAGAAGGAGCCGTTCAATTTTCATAATAAAGATGTTCCTAACTGCCATCGTTAATTGAGCACTACTTTATCACTCAACTGCCTTTTCTTTTGAAAAGGACGAATACAGAAATGATGTGGATACTTGCTTCAAAACATGCCAACATTGGCAAACGAACACAATGATTTAAACGCGCGAAGTCGGAAAAGTAAGAGTATTACGTAGGAAGCTACTTAGTCATTCAGTAACATCATTAACGTTAAAGGCACTCAGAGCAGCCAGAGAGTAGAGCTAAGCCCCAGCCTTGAAGAAAATTTAATCTAAGGAAATTTAGTAAAATTAGTTTTCCAGAAAGACTAGTCAACAAATATATAATACTGGAAAATCTCCCGGAACAAGGGTAAACAGCATATTAAATTTTCCAAAGTCAACGACATTTCACAAGCCCAACAAGTTTTGGCAGGCGACAGCCGAAAACCCAGAAAGTCCAAATTGTCACCTTGCCTCCAAGTCCAATATTGAAAAAAAAGGAGACCAACCAAGCAATCGCCTCAGGACCAATTTGGTTGTGGCAGTTGCCAATGTTACAGAAATGTCGCGCGCGGCAGGTTTTCGGATTTGATGGGCGCATGGAAACATAGCTCACTTGTAATTTATTCATTTTAATCATTATTCAAAACCGGTACTTAAGAAATAAAAATGTTTGCCAAGCGTGAACTTTCTTGCAGTAGCACTCGTTGTTTGGCTAAATGATGGATAAAAACTTCTTGTAAATTTTCCTTCATTTTTATACAGATTCTAAATGGATGATCAGGAAGAACCACCTCCTATAAAGCGTCAGCGTTTCAAGGTAAAATAATT